CACACACACACACACACACACACACACACACACACACACACACACACACACACACACACACACACACAAAATCACTATTCCCATTACATATATTCAAGAAGGCTACTTGTTTGCAAACACTAAGAAAAGGAAGAAAAACTGAATAGTCAAACGATGACTGATAGTTCCTTCCCCCATCACCATCCTCAGAGGCTGAATTGATATTATATATATATATGTGAAAATGGTGAAATGGTATGGGTTTAACGCCCCTATCAACACTAATAGGTTATTTAAGGGGCGGGATTAGTTTAACGTCCGTCTCTGATAGGACCGATATATGTCAATATTAAGGTTCTTTTAGGAAATAGTAACAAATAAATCCTTATATGGAGTCCCCTATCTCCCGCAAATAACAACAGCAACAACAACAAACAAAAAAACAAACAAATCAAAAAGCAAATTGACAAACATGAAACAAAAACAACAACAAAGCAATAACAATACATTCAAGCCCATAATAGCAATGCCTTCGACAAGAATCCAGAAACAGTTCTCACTCATGTCCAGTCTCCAGAAGTCTTTGAGAGGCGAGTACCTCTCCTTGCCCCCGGAGACATAGAGGTAACGGTGGAGGGCACATGAGGCATGCTGGCTCCTCCCACGGGGCGTGGCCGGAACGCGTCCGGGGGAGTGCACACAGCTCCAACGGAATTGCAGGCATTGGCTGCTACTATCACTGTGGGTGATTCTCATTTCTTCATATTTCTTCAAGTGGATGGCAAGACGCAGGAGACAACTGACTCCACCCTTTAGCCTTGTGGGTGTGGCTTGATCTGCTGAATATAAAACAGTAAATACCATGATTGGACAAAAGTTTAAAATGGCTAGAAATGCACACAATACAAGACATACAATACAGAAGTAGGTTGTTTTGAAAAAGCATCAGTTGCATAATGTTTTATCACACTTAGATTGAAATATAAAGGTTTTGCGCGTTTGTCACTGTGTGTATGCTCTTGTTTTGTAAAATATAATAAAATAAATAAAAATAAATTACACTTTTATTTGTCCCAGAAAGGCACTTTGGTTTACAATGGCAAACATACAAACATACACATAACTATAAACACCTGCATACATAAATACGTGTATAAATACATACATAAATAAATAATATAACACAAATACAGAACAGTTTACAACCATGCCATTGTCGGTCGCCACTGTGCAGCGCCCTGTATTTTGAGCTAGGGTTGTCGTGTCTTGCTCAAGGATACACCCCAGTGACCACCCATCTGATCCTCGTGTCACCGACACTTGCTTGACATGAGTCTGACTCACACTTAGCCACTGGAGCCCCATCTGTATTTGTGTGTGTGCGCGCGCGCGCGCGTGTATGTGTGTGTGGGTGTGTGTGGGTGTGTGTGGGTGTGTGCGCGTGTATGTGTGTTCGTGCGTGTGCGGGCGTGCGTGCGTGCGTGTGTGCGTGTTCGTGCAAGAACAGATGGTTGGGAGAGGAGGGAGGGGTATAAAAAAAGGATGAAATAAGAGTCTGGCTGTTCATTTCTTTTGGAAGTGTCTGCGTTCTCTAACGTTAGAGAATGTATACAAGCTGTCTACGTTCTCTAACGATTAAAAAAAACAACAATATTAAGTCTGTAGGGCTCTATTTGAACTTTCGGATAAGGCTAGGCTACTTTTCAATCTTTCTTTTTTTTTTCAAATTGGTTTACATTATGTTGTGTCGTTAGATCTACATCAAATAGGCCCGCCAGTCCACTCATTGAATTGGGTTATTTCATGCACTAGATCTAGGCCTATCTAGGCCTATCGTAGACCTAGCGTTGATATGACTGACTTGACCTTGACCCACGTGATTTGATTTTATGACAGTGATGTCACATCACACACCAAATCGGCAATGTTTTTTCACACAAATGAATTTGGTATCATTTATGGTCTCTCACGTTGTATCGCATAGGCCTACCTTGGTGTTGAGGTTGGAATACGAAATCGCATGTAAACTGCAAGCTATCTTCTAAATACTAGTAACAGACGGCCTGATCTTCAGTGACTTATTCAAAGTTATAAGGGGG